TGAAAGTGACATACACTACACATATATACTATAGTTTGACTATATTTCTAACCATAAAAATCATAGTCTGAAACAAATTTACGCGTTTGTTTAGCTACTCCACTAACTCACAAATAACAAATTGACTCCTAGCTAGTATGTATATAAACACATTGATGTTTTTTTTTCTATCTGATGTCTGATATTTTATATTAAAATCCGATTAAATTTTAATTTGTGCCAAAAGTTATATATTAGAAGTAAAACACTCCCTAATAAAGACGATTGGGAATTACTTATCACTCTACCACAACCCTTGTCGGTTATATACACATTGATTGTTACGTTAAAATAAGGTTGAATCCGTCGGTGACCCCTTAAAGTTGGCATCAAGTTTCACTTAGACACCTTAACCGAACTTTGTTCATTTTAGACACCTTATGTACACTCCTGATATATCATTTTGACACTTTTTATTGACATGACATAGTGAGTGTGATACACACTAGCTGCGTGTGAGAGCCTTATGCCACTATTTTTTTAAAAAAAAAAAATCTTCTGCTTCTCCATTTTCTAGCTACCATTTTTCAAACTTAAACTTTTTCTATGGTGAAATAGATTTAATGATGTCAACGATAAATAAGTAAATTTCAACCCACATGATTTTCTAAAAGTTTAAATTTTAACCCCACAAAATAATTATCATATTTCTTTTTTATGTATTTGAATCCTTTGCACATGCAAGAATTGAAAAATAATAAACAAAGTTCACTTAAAACGGCCAATTAAAATTTGGTGTCAAATTTAAAAGCCTATCAATGAGTTCAATCTTAAAGCAAATTAAGAAGTGTTTGGTTGTTTACAAAATTTGTGGTTGTCACATTTTTCTCAGTGGACAAGAAAGAATTCTTTATTTGTGGACACAATCCTGACAGGACCATATATCATTCATTATCTTAATTACATTTGACATTTGTCGATCGTACGTACAAGGTAATTCAAGTACATGTACTAACTTCAATTTGTTCAACGAAAAGCGTTTATATTTAGTTGAACATATACAGAGATATTAATTAATATTGACATGACTTTCAATCTATACGTAATACATCTCGATTAAGTTGTGTACCTATTGAATATTCAATTTATTCAAAAATTGTCATATTAAATGTTTGGCATAATGCATAAACATGACTCTTAACTTGACGTCAGTTGACAACTATGACCTTTAACTTTGGGTGTGGACAAGTAGACACTTAATTAAATTTGTATAAAATTGAGCAAATTGACACATTCGTCCTACACGTCAATTTTGTGTCCTACATGGCGTCCTACGTGTATTGTGTCATGTAGGACATTTGTGTCTACTTGTTCAATTTTATACAAGTTTAAGTGTCTATTGTGCATATTCAAAGTTGGAGGCATAGTTATTCGTTGAAACCAAGTTAAGGATCATGTTTATGTATTATGCCTAAACGTTTTATTGACCATTAACAAAAAAAAATTACAAGGTAATCCAAGCATTTATTGTGCGTGATTTATCTTTTATTTTAATATAGAAATAAAATAAAAAGGTTCTTGGAATATTCCATTATATTGTTTAATTAATGATGTACCTACAGCAGAAAAATGTTGATAACAGATCGTCAAAGGCAATCATATTTTGTTAAATATATTCCAAAAAAATAGCACAATAATTTTGTGGAGCCTTTTTCAGCCGCCTCACAAAGTATATAATATAAAAATATTTATAAACACATACCAATAAATTAATTATGTGATATGATCACTAGTATCGCCGAAATTAATTTGTTATATCTAAATGAATGATGTGATAATTTGTATATATATATTATTCAATGTCAGAATCAGACCAACATAAATAAGATGATCTGGTTGGATATAAATATTTTCGAGTTCGAGCTTCAGAGATGAAGAAAAAATTATTAGGACTATTACGCTCAAAATAAGTCCTATACTGTATAGTTCTAATTTAATCAGATTTTAAAAAGTGAGAAATCCAAAAAAATAATATTGGAGCAAGATAGAGGTGAATTGATGATATTAATTTATTTTAAGGACTAGGCATATATACATTTATTTAACTTTAATAATTGTTCACCTATATACCTATTTTATTTATATAAAATATAAAAAGAGAAAACTTTATGGTCAGTTGAACCCATAATACATTTTCAGCAATATATATAAAAAGATAATACATGGTGTGTGTTTGCGTGGCACCTAATTAGATTGACAACATGACTTTTTTTCTACTATTTATTATATATATAAAAGAAAATAGTTAAATGTTGCCAGCTAGTGATAATGGGCTAATTAATATATAACCAATATTGATCGCGATGAATGATTGGAATTATTTATATTTTTAATTAAAAATTTTGAACAATTGAAAATATCATTATCAGAAATGAGCTTTATGTAATACGTGAATTCAGATTTATCGAATAATTGAAGTCATTCTATTAATCTTTAAGTCTTATTGGGTCAATATCAGCCGATCGAATCTTGTGGCGCTATAAATTAATACTACTACTAATTAAATATATATTGGCCAATTTGGCCTCCATTTTACATAACCAATAATTGTAGTATATCCTTACTACACACGAAACAATAAATAATTAGAAAATTAGAGTGA